AAATCGCAGTACCATTGACCATTTAGTTCGATTGGAATCATTCGTTAAGAATGCCATCGTAAACAAACAACATGCGGTGTCAATCTTTTCGATTTAGAAAAGGCATATGACACAACATGGAAACATATGGCATTTTAAAGAGATTTACATGATTTTTGGATTACGAGGCCGTTTACCTCAATTCATATCCAATTTTTTAACTGACAGGCAATTTCAAGTCCGCGTGGGTTCTACCCTGTCTGATCATTACAATCAGGACCAGGGTGTCCCACAAGGCAGTATTTTGTCCGTAACTTTATTTAGTATCAAGATCAACAGTTTAGCCTATGTCTTAAATGATTCAATTGATGGATCACTTTTTGTGGATGATTTTAATATTTCTTGTCGGGGTAAAAATATGCATACTATTGAGCGGCAACTGCAATTGTGTTTAAACAAAATAGATAAATGGTGTCTTGAAAACGGCTTTAAATTTTCTAAATCCAAAACTAATTGCATACATTTCTGTCGTAAATACAAACCACATAAAGACCCAGAACTATTCCAAAATGGAACACCCATCCAAGTCGTTAAGGAGGCCAAGTTCTTGGGACTTATTTTCGATTCCCATTTAACGTTTTTGCCGCATATTAAATCACTTAAAGCTAAATGCCAGAAGGCTCTTGATCTGTTAAAAGTTGTTTCTAATTCCAATTGGGGAGGGGACCAAGCTACCCTCCTTCACCTATATAGATCACTGGTGCGATCTAAACTAGATTATGGTTCCATCGTATATGGCGGAGCCTGCAAAAGCAACCTTAAACTACTTGATTCTGTTCACCACCAAGGTCTAAGACTTTGTCTTGGTTCCTTCAGAACTTCACCTGTTGACAGCCTTTACGTCGAGGCTGATGAGCCATCTCTTACCCAACGCCGTATAAAATTAACTTTACAATATATAACAAAACTTTATTCCAATGAGTCAAACCCTGCATATAACTGTGCCTTTAATCCACTATATGAAGATCTGTATAACAAGAAGCCTTCTCTTGTTCCGCCTCTTGGTATAAGATTGAAACCTTTCCTTTCTGCTGCTGGCATTGAGCTAGAACATATAGCTCCTTCTCGTCTTCTTTCTTCTCCTCCTTGGCAATTGGTGAGGCCAGAAGTTGACTTAACATTAACCACATTTAAAAAATCAGAAACTAATGATCTACAGTATAAACAAGAATTTAGTCAATTAAGAAATAAATATAATACCTATAAATCCTTATATACAGATGGATCCAAGGATGGTGGCGCGGTTGCTTGTGCCACTGTCGTTGGGTCCAAAACAATATCTTCCAGACTACCCAATGACAGTTCAATTTTCACAGCAGAAGCAAACGCAATACTAACAGCTCTTAAATATATTAATAAACACCGTAAATATAAACAATATATCATCTTTTCGATTCTCTTTCGTGTCTTCAGGCTATTAAAAATCTTTCTTGCAAACATCCACTTTTATTAGAAATTCTTGAATTGTATAATGAGCTTGCTACTGGCCAATGCGACATCGTCTTTTGTTGGTTACCCAGCCACGTTGGCATTTCTGGGAACACCATGGCTGATCTTGCTGCTAAGGCAGCACTCAACAAATCTGTGACACCACTTCTGATTCCGTACTCTGATTACAAAGCTGCTATTAGATCTTATATCCGTGATCTGATGCAGAAGAAGTGGGATACCCAAGTAGGTATAAATAAATTACATGTAATCAAACCAACTATCGGTTACACCTACTTGGGATGTAAGTCCAGATTTGAAGAGGTCATTATGCGGCGATGTCGTATTGGCCATACAAGGTATACCCATGAATATTTGCTTAAAGGCGAAGATCCTCCGTTCTGCATCCCTTGTGATGAAAGAATCACAGTCAAGCATGTCTTGCTTGACTGCATCGAATATTCCATCACAAGGGATAACTATTTCAAAGTAAACAATGTGAAGGATCTTTTTAATAATGTCAGTGCTCATTTAATTATTGCATTTTTAAAAGAATTAGATTTGTTAAGTGATTTGTAAATAGATATATATTTTATTATTGGTAGTTTGAATTAGTAACTGAGATTGTTAGTGGCTGTACTCTCAAAGGAGGTTGAAGTAGCGTAAAATTATTGTCCTCCTGAGAGGGTACGTAAGTCCCAAAACATTTCAAGTCAGCTTAAGTGTACCAGGTTTTTTTAATCGTAGTATTTTTGTATTTTTAATTGTATGGCTAAATCTCAGCATCATCGCCAATGGCTGAAGGGATGGTGTAAATCCAGTTAGGGTCCATGTAGGTAGCAAAAGTACTGTAAGTCCCCATGGCCCCTAGTATGGTGATCTACCTTCAGTTGTTAGCGATCTATAGCCTATTTTTATATTGTGTTGTCCACTATGGTTAAAATGTTTTAGACTCTATTACTAGTTTTACATATATATCTGTGATATTCTAGTTGTTTTACTGCCCTTCGTTGGCAGGTTTTATAATATACATATATTACATTTCAATATCGAATGTTCTCGTCACGATATGGCTGAAATATTGCCGATGTGACGTTAAATATTAACTCACTCACTCACTCAGACAGTTCAGCAACTAGGGTTGTATATAGCAATGCTAGTAGTACGGGCTTTGGAGGGGAACTGTGTGCAGTTTGGAGGTAGATATTCTTATGGTCAGTGGATGAAATCGGAATGAGTTCTACCTGGCAGGAGCTTAAGGCAGTGGCAATGGTACCTCGCTTGCAGTATAGTTCTGTTCGCTTGTTCTAAACAAACATAAACTTGGAAATGACAGATTTCAGCTTCGGTATCTCAGTTTCAGAAAAGGACGAGATTCACACAGTGTCGTTAATATTACCATGGGGCGGTGGGGTAGCCTGATGGGTAGAGCGTTGGCTCGTCACGCCGAAGACCCGGGTTCGATTCCCCACATGCGTACAATGTGTGAAGCCCATTTCAGGTGTTTCCCCCGCCGTGATGTTGCTGAAATATTGCTAAACGCGGCGTAAAACCAAACTCACTCACTAATATTACCGTACAATAGAGGCGGGAGGATGTTGTCTCCAGTGATCGGGATGAGCTTATGTAACAGTTACACAGTATTAAATGCCTCGGCTGGACTGCAGGGAATGTCCATTGTGTGTTGTGCTCTTTGAATATGGTTTGTTGGTTAGGAAGAGAATTCATTATTAACATAAAATCACACTAAAGAGAATGTTTCGATGAACACCGTGTAACATCACAAAATTCTCCATTTACAATGTTATTATTTACAATTTGGTGAACATAACAGTAAACTTTCTTGTATGTATGCCTTGATATAACTAGAAGTATATATATTTGGAGTGTAGATTGACGGGATCTTTTGAATACAACCTGTAGAACATTTACGAAGAAGATTAATTTGGATGTGGTACACAGAATAGGTAGTACAACAAAGACATGGCCTGTTCCGTTAAAGATTTGGCATCCTCCATGAGCGCCAGGGTTGAAAGCTTTTGACATCACTGATTGTGCCAAACAGATAGGGAGAGAGGTTCTGTTTTGTTTATTTATTCAGTATTGGAGGCCTATTGGCCCAGATTACAAATTGTTGAAATACAAATTTCTGTGTGGAATGCTTACTCCTTACAAGTTTTTTCTGATAAATACAATGATAATACATATAGAAATAGTTATATTGTACAAGAAATGATAAATAGGTTTATTTTACACATGAAATCATGTTACTTCAAAATATGGGATAGCTATAATGATAACACATGTAGAACTAGTTATACTGTACAAAAAATGATAAATAGGTTCATATAACACATAAATCATGTTAATGCAAAATATGGGATAGCTACAATGATAACACATGTAGAACTAGTTATACTGTACAAAAAATGATAAATAGGTTTATATAACACCTGAAATCATGTTAATGCAAAATATGGGGGTAATTTTGCATAAAGATTTCTTTTCAAATACAGTGCGAGTCCCTTCGAAACATTAACATTTGTTGAAGATATATGTTGTTGTTTTTCTCGGGAAGGGTAGTGATGAAAATATTTTGGAATCAATTTATTTCTGCTGACATTATAGTAAGGACAATCCAAAATGAAATGAAATTCATCTTCGACAGCCATATTGTCACACTTATCACATATCAGGGCAGATCGGTCAACGCTTTCTTTACTTTTCATTTAACGACAGTTCTGAATCTTCAGGTTATGAGAAAGTACACGAAACTTCGTGAGAACAACTATTAAATCTTTATCTATAGAATTTGATAATAAATATAATTCTGTACTTAATAATGATTTATAAGAACTATAATGGCAAAGAAATGTTGAACTGTTGATATTTTTTACACCAATTGTGAATATCTAAATCTATGCACCACTGTTTAAACAATCTTAGAACATATTTCATATCTCCACAGTCTTGGGCGATATAGATATAAGGTTCTTCCTTAAATATGAAAAAGGTAATACGAGAAATTGTAATGAGGAAACATTATCGTCAATGAGGGGAGGCGGGGTAGCCTTGTGGTTAAAGTATCTGCTAACAATTCCTATACCTAAAATTAGCACAAAAGCTATCAAATACAGCATAATCAAGATTTTAACAATGATTATTTTTAGTTTGAGTTAGTCTTGTATTTGTTGCATATCATCATCATGTAATAAGTCAATCTACTTTAAATAACCGTAAGTCAAAAACACTGGATGAAATTGTTGCTGCTGTGGGTAGTGTGCAGATCGTGCATGGTTCACTGCGCCCGAGAACTATTTGCGAGCTAGAAGTGACTTCCTTGATACTATGTCAGTATCAAAATAAAACTTCATTTGTTGAATAAGCAAGCAAGTTTGAGTCGTTGAACTAACTACTTCGAATTAAAAATCAATGTTAAAAGTTATTGATGTTCAACAAATTCAAACGTTTAAAGATACACTTCAAGTTACACAATCGGCACATGTTATATAAATAAACAGGGAAAGAATTAATTCAGTAGGATTTTGATTTTAACGTTTTATTACAAATTTTACAGAAAGATTCAGACAGTAAATCATTAGTTAAATTGATGCTTTAAGCAGACGGTTGATTCCACTTGCTTATTAATGGAAACACCCAATTGGATTCTTGATTCCAATTGACCTTCGATGAATGGTGGCATTATTTCAGGATATTGTCAGGAATGCTATGAAAATTGAGGTAATGTCGATAGTTCTTAAACTCATAAGTGAACACCCTATTCCTAACAAATGTCAGAAAGTCACTGACGTGCTCTCTGTATCCTGAAACACGTGCTGTATATACCGTAGATACCAAACAATAAACTGGTAACTATGACAACAATCCACGTTGCCCTGTGCTCATGGGAAACAAGCGGGTCAAAGGTCGCTATAATTCGGGCAGGTCCGCCACTTCCGTCGAACACCTTCATTGCACCTACAAATATTGTGGCCCCGAAGACTGGAATCTGGTCAATGTTAGCCACATTTTCCAGTCCGATAATTCCGTTCTCTCCACACAACACGTGAACTTTGAAGGTCGTCGACTGCCCGTAATCCACGGAGGGAGTGTCGACCCCAACCATACTGACGTTTCTATTGGTCAACAGCCAGGAAATGGCGTCCTCATGGTAACCCGGGAAATGGTAGGTTGAGGGGTCGTCGACCTTCTCGCTGTTGTAAACAAGGTTCTTGTCTTGAAAACGGGAGCCCCAACCTGAATTCATGAGTACAATGGCACCGTGTGGGATTCGACCGTGTTCTCGTTCGTACCTGTCGAAGTCAGACTTTGTTACTCTGTAATCGTGATCCCTTTCCGCTTGTGATGTCACGTCGATAACCACCGCTGGACCAATCAGACGCTCGGGCGGAATCTCATGCGCCCTCCACTTACCTTTGGAAAAGTGGGCGGGGGAATCGAAATGCGTTCCTGCGTGTTCGGGGGTAACAAACCAGTTTATTTCATACCTGGGGAAAAAAATGGAACAAGACTGACATGTGGTCACTGTACAATGGTGACAAAACTAGAAACAAAATCGGCCCGGGACTTGAACTCACAGGTTCCTAGCGAGAATGTATAACTCCCCGGTGAAGTACAGTAGATATACAGTATTTTCAAAACGAACCGCAGCGCCTTATACTACTGGGCCGCCCGTACATGAAATCCCTGAACTAATATTTCAGTAATTTAATGAAATCCCTGGAAATTTTAGGGAATACATGAAATCCATGGGGGTCACACGGATTTAATTAAAATACTGACTCTTTCAGGGATTACGTGAAATCCCTGGTTTCACACATTCCCTGTACTATATACATCACACTCTCTATTTCACAACTTGAATGACCATCAATTTGACTTCCTTTCTTGAATGTGTTATAACTCTTACCAGAACTTTGCAAGGAAGCCACGGTTGATGATGTTTAACTTGAATTTCGGAATTCCTTCGCCTGGCCATTGGGGCATTTCCTTTCTGTGGGCCCAGGTAAGGTCTATCACTTTCATCTCGCCGCTGAATAGAGGTAGCAAAACGCTGATGCAAATGACAGAGCTTCCATACTTCATATTGATGTCTGTGAACGTAAAACGGGAAAATTATTTTACCAAAGTACAGGAGTAGAATCCTTGTCTAGAAGAGTCACAAGGCTGCTTTGACATAGTGAGTGAGTTAGTTAGCTAGTACGGTTTTACGCTGCTTTTAACAATATTCCACCAATACGATGGTGTGGGGCACCAGAACCCGGGTCCTCAACGTGACGAGCGGACGCTTTAACCATTGGCGACCCCACCATACCTTGACATTTGAAGATCAGGCAAAACAAGAGGCAAAAGCATTGTAAGGAAACAAATGTTGTAGAGAGAGTCCGTGTGTGTGTGTGTGTGTGTGTGCGTGCGTGTGTGCGTGCGTGCGTGTGTGCGTGCGTGTGTGTTCTGGATGATTATGTGATCTATTACGAGAAGCAAGGGGTCAAGTTGGACCTACCCCATTCTAAAGAGACTTTTGCACTCACTTCCCCAAATCAACAACAGGCCAAAGCACGTATTCAGATGCATGAGAATGGGGGATCTAAAGCCGAAAACACTACTTCTTCCCAGAGACCCATGAAAAGTCCATGTCCATGGGAGCCAGCAAGGTCTTGTTTTGGTGTTTGAACGTTTTATTGTCAGTCAGATGTATATCCCATGTCCATGGGAGCCAGCAAGGTCTTGTTGATTGTCAGTCTGTATATCCTGCGTCCGTCGCTTCTCAGCATGTTCATTTGGTGTTTGAACGTTTTATTCTTGAACAGGGCTTCCTTGAATCTGGCGTGCTTGATGTGTTTTTTCACCACGTGTGTTTTCACGCCTTTCGCATTTCGGATTTCATCGTCGTCGGCTTTCTTGATTGAATACATCTTGGGTCTCAAGCTGACGTACTCAGCGATCGGCGTGCCCGCGCATTCGTCCTTCATCTTGCCGAGCACTTATTTGTTGACTTGGCTGTGCATAGGGTGATCTTTAGTGTAGTCGCTGGTGTCGTACAGGTGCATGTGTTTCTTCATGTCCTCGTACACGTCCTCGGTGTGAATTTCCATCAGCAGGGAATCTGTTTTCCGTGTACAGCACTTCAAACCTGTCGCCGTACTGCTTTTTCAGCTCGTTGTAGTAGAAATCGTACATCAAGTGTTTGGATAAGTCGAAGATGCTCATCCCCACGTAAACGGGCCGGTTGAATTTGATGTGGCTTTTGTTCATGTGCAGCGCTGCCAAGTCGTCGTCGAATATCTTGCTTCGTTTGAACGCCGGGCTGGCTATAAGTTTCCTGAGTTTTTCTTCCTGCTGGATCTGACTAATTTCATGTTAATGCGTTTTCTCAAATTCTCCATCGTGTTGCCGAACATCGAGTTGTTCATGAGCTTGTACAAGTTTTATTTGAAGTCGCTTGTGGCTTGTTTTTGCAGATTCGTGTTAAACCGAATGTAAGGTTCCATCCATGGACTTTGATCGAACTGGAGCCCCTATGTATTTTCGTGAGTTTCATTCCCAGTGACAAGTACAGCTGCAGATTGCGATAGTGAACGACGTATTTTGACTTCTTCATCAAGTTCGGCACGAATTTTTCGACGTTAGCCAGCTTGTTGTTTCCCAGCAAGTTTCGTTGATATTCAGACATCCAGTCCGGGTTCACCATCAATCGTTCGGGAGCTAGCAGATAGCTGTTGTGCGATTCCTGTAGTTCTCCGGGATAGTCCAAGTCCACTTCGAGCACGCAGCCTTTGTTCGAAACCGGCGCGATGCTATTCACATCAATCATCTTAGGTGATGAGACCCATTCGATACTGACTCATGGCCCAGCCGTACAGGTTGTTGGCGTCGAGGTAGAGTATGTGTTTGGTCGGTTTGCCGGGGGCGTGACCTGGATGTACTTGTTGTTTGCTTTGGCCTATCGTTTGGAGGCCATGGAAATCCCACCTCGCAAGCCTTTTTCCACGAACAGGTGCATGTCGTAATCCGTCAGTAGTTTCAGCTCCACGCCGGTCTTTTTCAACAAGGCGTCCCAAGAGAGACCGGGGGAGGAGAAATACCACACGGGGTCCAGGCCGTACTGTTTCGAGCACGTTTTTCTGAAAATCTCGAACATGTCGGCAAGCAGCAGCACGTCCGTTTTCAAGTACAGGTCGTGGTAATCGCCCAAATTCTTGCAGCCCAGTTTGCCCCACACGTTAATCGCGTGGAATCGGTCAAGTATTGCTGTAAAGCGGTCGATGGGAGGTAATCGCAATCTCGTTGAACTTAGACCAATCGTCCAATGCCCTTCCTCAGCAGCAGAGGTCGCGTCTGCATCGGTGTATCGATTGGTGATGGCGATGGCCTGCATGATCAGGTGAGAATCGTAACCGTGAAGATTGTGAAACACGATGGGGATTTTGATGGGCTTGGGGATTGATTTTGAGCTGTTGCATGGCTGTGTTTTTGATGGTCTTGGGACTTAAGGCACTTCGAAGTCGGCGTATGAGTTCTGACGTAGGGGGGACGATGTTTGTGGTTGAAGAATTTTAGCTTGTGTTTCTTTTCATCGGGCATGTCTATTCAGATGGCCGTCTCTCCCACGCTTCGGCAAGAATTTTAGCAATCCTCCCGATGGGATTCCAGCAGGTCGGCTTGCGTGAAGCCATGCAGGCACCTTTCGCTGAAGTGTTTATTTTCCTTATGCTTCGATTGATCGTACAACAGTCTGTTGAAATATTTTATCCACGTATAGTGATACTTGTCGCCTTGCTGGAACATTAATATATTGATTGTCTTGCAGTGTTCCTTTGTGAGGGAGCTGATCCTGTGCACGATCGTTTTATTCCCTTTGTGTCCGAAGATATTGATGGCTATGTCGTCGTTCTGTTTTTCGATTTTGGTTACCTGGGAGATGGAGGTGGGTTCGTCTATGCCGTCCCAGTTGATCCCATCGTCTTCGGGATAGCTCGAAAGTCTGTCTGAATGTGCTTTGACCGGAAACTTCGCAACCCTGATTGCAACCCTCATGCAATCATCGCCTTTGTTTTTGACGTTGACCATGGCTTGCTTTTTCTTGTAGTACGGTGACAAGTCTAGGTATGACCCTCCTTTGAACGGCACGTAGTTTGCTACGTCCAGGTAGACCGTGTCGATCGTGTCCATGACCCAGCCCAAGCCCACGTGCATGTAGCGTTCCAGGGATTCTCGTATTTTTGCCGTCCGTCTGCTGTTTGTCCAGTGACATTCTCACCGTGAGTTGAAATTTCAGGCTTCCCAGATCGTTCGTTTGTCAGCGATCAGGGGTTTGATGTCTTCGACGTCCATGTTTTTGTCGACGTCTAGCCTCCAGCCTCCAGCCTCCCAGATACTTACCTACGGCCTGCTTCTTCCGCACGAACCGTAGTTCGACGGGTTTGTGTTCCTCCAGCAGTTCGACGAGCTCGGCTTTCCTCATGCCCCAAAGTATCTGAGCCCACGTTCCTTCGCTCGGAGCTTGAGCTGGGTTGTCGTTGTTTCTCTTTCATGCCGAGCAATCTCAGCAGCAGAGGTTTCCTCAAACGAGAGTAACTGATCACTCCGTGTTTTTTGGCAATCCTTTTCAGTTCTCAAACGGTAATCATCGTTGCTATATGAATGTGTGAAAACCTTTTTCTAAATGAAAAATAATTATATTCAGATGTGAAGTCAAATCTCTAATAGGTTGTTCGCTATAGTCAGGTGTGAAGTCAAATCTCTAATAGGATTTTCATCGCTATGTTCGGCTGCGAGTCAAAATCTCTAGTAGTTTGTTGGTGTGCGAAGTATGTCTCGCTGTTAAATGTTAGCAACCCCGTCAATACGTTGGATAGTTAAACTTTCAACCGACTTTTAAAAAAGTAGCGTTTTTCGTGATGCATGTTAGATTTTTATTCTGAGCAGTCTGTTGCGTTCGTTGAGATAGTCTCTTTTCGTCAAGAAGATGAGATGGCCTTGTACCACGTCCGCTCCGTGGGCTTTGCAACGACGATAATGGCATTTCACGCCCACGCCACACACTTCGCACGTGTAATTCACGAAACCCTTTTGTATGGACATCATGTGTATGCCGCAATATTCAGTGGTGCATTTCATGCCGCTGGTTTCGGGTTTTCCTAGCAACACGTACTTGCAGTTATATGGTGCGCGTCTTCCCATCTTTATATATATACACATAAATATATTTTAGTCTAATTGTTTGACGATCAACACGGTCGCCACTAGACCCAGCGCCACGAAAATCAGTTCACTGTCTTTCTGTTCGTGGAAGGTGTGTAAAACTGTGAGAGGGTGGGTTCGTTGCCAAGAGGTTCGAGTGGTTTGCCGATGAGCAGGTAGTATTATCGCATGGCGTTGTCGACGTTCTTGAACGTTTGAACGGCATGGTTTTCACACGAGAGTTGGTCGTTGATGAACTGTATTCTCTGCACGCATTTTTTGGTGCACTCGGTTTGCGTGGCTTGCAGTTTCTCCAAGGCCAAATCGTGATATTTATGTTCCGCTTCCATTTTGGCTGCGTTCGATGTTCGTAATTTGGAGAAGAGATAATTGCTGCCTGAAAATGCGAGGGCGTTGACTAATGCACCACCAACCATCATGGTGATCGTAGCCATTTCTTTTTTATATATAAAGATTACGGTATAATTCCTTGTTTCACGAGAATGTCCTTGGTGGCCATCGCCATCCCTAAGTCCATGACTAGCAGGACCATGTCCTGCACGTTGAAATCGAGTTTGATCGTCGGCTGTTTGAGAACCATTTTCGTTAAGCGAGCGTAACCTACGGTTAGTCCGGCGACTACGGCGGCATGATATGCATCGTTGACGAATGTTTTTCCTTCAGACGTGTGTGTATATATAAAATATATATATCTTTTTTTATTTTTTATATAACATAACATGCGGATTTATTTCTAATTGTGATTGCGTCGTCTGCTGCTGGTGTGTTGGTGGTGGTGGTGGTTGCTTGTTATTATTATATAGCAGCATAACGACGACGACCACACTTAATCCAGTTGTTGCCACGGCGGCAACAATCCATGGAGTATTATTATATTTGTGGTGCTTGGCTAAACCACCTTTTCTACCGGCGGCGACTTGTTTAGGATTCTTGGTGGTGGTGACTAGTCATACTGGTGTCGTCGTTGTTTCCTCCATCGGCGGATGCTTTGCCGTGATGATCACCGCTGTCATCGGAGCTAAAAACATACTGTATCTGTGGTACAGCACACAGCTGACAGCATTCAAAGCGTGGTTGATGAACGGATCTTTCTCGAGATCTCCCCACAGGTAAAGTCGACGTTACGGTGGAATGGGAAAGAAGTACGACGCTACGCCAGCATAGACTTGCGTTATGACAGAACCTATGTTTTTCGTCATTTCTATCTCGCTTACTGCTTGTCGATTTCTTCGGCTGGCATTTTGTGAATTTTATCGGGAGTGTGGTCGCCCCCACCAGCCAAGTATTGTTTTGCCTTGCCGCTGACCGCGAACGCCACCAGTCTCTCTCGCTTGTCGTTTTTATTATTATTATCATCGTTATCCAACATTTGTTTGAGCAGTTCATCGCACTCCATCTAATAATGTAACAAGCGAGGTTGGGGAATCAAACCAGCAGCATTTGGTTTTGATTGATCGTGCTCGGATTGTTGGTGATCATCACCGACTGACGCACGGCTTTGACAATGAGTGGCTCTCTTGATCTTCGGAAAGGATCTAGCTTTCGTCCGCAATGCGACATTGTTTATATTGAAACTATGTATATTATAAGTTAATTATAAATAAAAAAATGACGATTTCGACGTACACCAGCTGAACGACAATGATGCAGCAGCAATGGACACCTCGTTCATGGGGGACACCGTGGGCAACAAGCTTTTAAAGCAGGCCATGGACAAATATTACGATGCTTTAAAGCGAGATAAAAATTACGTCGAACCATTGGGTCACGACTATCCGAAGTTCAAAATCGACAACGAAGGGATGCTGCGATTGAAAGCTCATCCGGAGGTCGATCTCATGAACAAACACATGAGAAAACTGCTCGCCCTGTCAACGCTAGCCAGTCGCTGTGGTGGTAGTCAATTGATCCGCGACGAACTAAACCTGCGAGAATACGGTGGTGCACGACCCAAACAACTTCCACCGAAGGTCGTCCGAGATCTGCAAAATGTAAGGACTGAACTCGGTGATGCTAGCGCTGCTGATCCGAGAGAAATGCCCCAGCGCGCCAAAGAAGCGTCGGACGAAATCGACAAAAATATTGGTCACATACTCGAACGAACCTTTGCCCGGTTTTGAATTTCCTCTTAGGGAACTTCGGGGTTTAGACGAAGTCTTGAAAAACATGGGTAAACTGAACGACAAGCACATCGATCGTGAGAAAAGAAAACTCAGGATCGTGGACGACGACGAAGCCACGAAAACATCTTTGAGAAAAGATTGCGCGACCTGGAAGACAAGAGACGGGTCAGATTGGAAGCCGCTTCCTCCAAACGGGAAGCCCTCCGATCGCAGATCAGCCGCGTGCGCAAAACCATCGACTGAGGACACCACGTCAGCCGACAGGATCCGAATTCTGTTCCAGAGACAAGGTATCACCATCGCCAGCGTTCTCACGGCTTTAGGCTTCATCATATCGACCCTGGTCGTATCGCTGACGGGTGGTGGTGGTACACCACCAACACCAACAAGCCTATCATCATCATCAGGCGACAACGTCAGAGACTGGATAAAAAAACATTTGAAATCTCTCGGTGAAGCCCTGGCTAAACTGGTCGGCAAAGCTGCCGAAGCGCTGCCTGGCATCTTGGGCAGCATCGTTTCCTGGTTGTTAGGCTTCTTGTCGAAAATGGTCACGTGACTCGGTCAAAACCTGTGGGCTTTCATCGTCGCCGTGGTGGGTCTGGTGTAGCCAAATGAGGCACAGTCCAACCGCAATCCCGCCGACCACCAGCGCCGTTTTGCAATCAAGGTGCCGCTGATTGTTTGCCTGCACGTGTTGGGGCAGCTGCTGCTGTTGTTGGCATGGTGGTGCTACTTCTACTTCCGGTGTCGGTGCCATGATGCCCGTTTCTTACTGCGACATGACTAGACTTGCGTTATTGACGCCCTGGTTCAAACCCAACTTTTGATCAGCGGTCGCGATGACGATTTCATTGTTGTAGCCCACCACTCTGTTCACCCTCTGTCGCATGTCACTCGGAGCCATGTACAGTCTCGCGCCGAACACATAGTCAACTTTCGACCGGGCGTATTCTAGCGGGTTTTGATAGCGTTCGATGGCATTATGAGATCGACCAGTCTAGCAATGGCATCCTCGACATTAGCCACGAACTGTTTCTGCACGTCATAAGCCAACCCTTCACGACCCACGATAATGGAACGCGTTTGCGTCTGAGCACCCAGCACAGCCCACACGTACGTTAGAATCGAATCATTCAATCTGACAACACCGGCACGAGTAAACCCTTTCGAAGTGTCCAACATGAACATTTTCCAATCGTCCGCGGGTCCCTGCTCAAACCTCCAAACGCGGCAATCCTTGCTGTCGAAAGCCATGTAATCGTCGTTCAACTCATTCGTCTTGACGTAATGATACGACTTGTAACCCCAATCTTTCACTAGCTGTTTGCTGGCTTCCACGAGAGACATGTTGTGAACGATTGGAATGCCCAAACCATGGTTCGGACCTGGCAAACGCCAATCGACCGTGTTCGGATCTAGTTCGAATTCATCGCAAAAGCGTTCGTATGGATTGTATACAGCATTCCACGCCTTGTCCTGCGGAATCGGGGCACTGATTTCTTTCATGATACGTCTGATCTGGTAGTACACGTGAAACGAGAATACAGACCGACTCAGCGCATCACGACGAGTGACGTTCAACATCACTACGCACCCGGTGGTCGCGCACCACATGGCGAAATTGAATTGATTCTGCCAGAACTGCATCGGGTTGTTAAACCAAAGCGTGTACCGTTTTCACAATTCGTGACTAAAACCCGTAATTTTTAAACACGTCGATGAACCGAACTATGAAATGCAACCCATCCTTTGCATCGACCACAATACTCGGTTGCGTGAGATAGGTAGCACTTATATTATCACTTTCAAAAACAGTCTGTTCGTCAATAACGTCCGCAACCAAATAACGGACGGCTACTACAGCGTGTGCTCGCTCAACGAAGAAATCTTCAAACCCATGGGAGCCGAACTCAAAATGAACGACACAAACGGCACGGTCATGTTAGCCAACAATGGAAGAAACGACTTGAGACTCAGTCAGCCGTTGGCTAAAACGCTCGGGTTTATGTCAAAAGACATACAACCGGAAACCACCATGACTGGGACGAAATTACCCGATCTCGTTCCGTATCGCGAACTGTGCATTCATCTCGATCAGCTGAGCACGACCGACAACTTTCAAGGCGAACGACCTTCCACACTGCCGAGAGCAGTGCCGGTGAAAACGGAAAAGTACAACGATGGCAGAACCGAAACGTTTTCGTTGCAGCAGTACAAGAAATTAATCTGAGGCAACATCACGGAATTGAAAATATCGGTTTAGACGTTAAACACGATCCCGTAAGTATAGGATATCTCAGCATGACGCTTCACATGCGGCAATGACGGAGTCTCATGGTCCAGGAACACGAGTTAGAAAATGCGCCAACATAGCGATATCCGACCTCGGGGACACGCACGGATTCGACAAACCCGGAGTCGATGGCAAACTGTACGTCTTCTAACTGAAAAACAGCATTTACAAACGCATCGAACTGCCGCCTTCTACTGCCGCTGGTGGTGGTGGCAACGTCCTAGGCAATTTCGTCGATACCGAAGGAGCGGTCAACAACACTGGGTACGACCTGATACGCAATGACGAGGAGGAATGGACGATAACCCCAGCCTTCCGCAGCAGGCTGTACCACCTGGACGAGGTTGTGACCACGTCCATCTCCAGAAACACGCAGTACATTCTCATCTTCAACGACGACAACAAATGGGTCTTAGTGCCATCCCAAATCGACTGGAATCTCAACATCACACTCGACTCTCCCTACGTTTTCACGGACAACAAAGATCACTACTAGACAAAAGTCGTGAACAATGGAACGCTGCTCGTGGCTTACGTCCCTACGCAAAGACGCAGCGTGATCATCAGCACTGTTTACGTGCGGGCGAACGTTAACGCCTACACCAGTCTGCAAGGAGTCACCATTACCGTGGAAGACACGATATCGCTAACCAAAATTTTCATACTCGACAACATACATCTCATGGGTTTGAAGTGCACGTCCGAGGAATTATCCGATAACCAATTGAAAACCATTTCGTAATATATTATATATAACCAAGATGAACAACCATCAACCCAATGTAACGCTAGCCGATCTCGGGGACACGCGGGGATTCGATCTGCCCGGTGAGGAAAACACCTTGTATGCCATCAGCCTACAAGATAACGTGTACAAACGACGAGAAGTCATCATCGAATCTCAGTTAAACTGGATTATTAACCTGGTCCTGACCTACCCTATCTTATCATGGATAAAAATGATAGTGGCGTCTCGCTAAAAATTAACGGGATACTGCTTGGGAGGTTTAATCCTGGAAGAAGAACGAGGACGAGCGTAAAGCCATTACTAGATCAAACGGCTAACATGTTAGTCCAAATGAGAAAAAAGTAGCGTTATTTATACTAAAATATACTTATGTGCCAGACTCGTGGATCAGTGTGATACAAGGTTCTAATCTTCTTATCGAAGTATTTCTTGGAGATGCCCCCAGAGTAGATATAAACCTTCTGCATGGGTTAGAAATACACTGGCATGATCGCCATCAACATAAACGTTGATGTATTTGTATACAACCAGGAAAAACCCTCACCGCAAACCTAGATATTATGATATGTGAAAAGGATTTTATTGACTTCGAGACCATTTATATATACGAAAACTTGTACCTCATCAGCTTAAAGTATATTCATCAAACATTGACTGAGGACCAAGAGTATATATACAGAATGGGACTGTACCCGGTCCTGGATGAAGTAGCAAAAACACTGGAAACTGTAGACGGGTTTCGTTTGCGACAGATATGCAAACAACAACTAGAACGTGAACGCGATATGCGGTCAGCATTACAGAAAAAATATCACAGGGCCGTCAATTCCGTGGACGGTGTTGACAGCGCTCTGGTTTCAGTCAGCATGGGATTAGGCGTAGCAGGTATCGGGTTATTATCCACCATCGTGGCCGCACCCGTGGTGCTCGGCATCGAAATAACAGCCGGAGTGGTAGGGTTCATGGGATTGACCCTTAAGTACGTGTCTCGCAGACTGCAACATAAAGCATTGAAACACGACGAAATTAGAATTCTAGCCGAAGCAAAGTTAAACACGCTAGACGATCATATTTCCACCGCGCTCACCAACTATAAAATCTCCAGAGAAGAGTTTCGTTTGGTGCTATCGGAAATCGCAAAATATCACAGAATGAAACAAGGGATTCGGACCAAGTTTCGTAAAAACGCTGTCATTTGCGAAGATGAGAAAAATATAATTCATAGAACAAGGGAAGCAACAGGCCCGACAGGTCTCGTTCAATGCTACCGAGACGACAGCGAGTCGACCCGGGGGAGCTGCCGAGAGATACGGTATGATTTATTGGAAATCAACATAACGTTGACAGCCAGCCAGCCAGCCAGTCGGGTGTACAAGCCGAGCCGAGCCACACACTGCGACTTGCCCACAGCACTCGCTCGGTGATACGGAGACGACGACCCGGGGGAGGAAACTGCCGAGAGATGCGTTTCATTCACTTTCAGACATCTGTAGCCTCGCTAGTCAGCCGGCCGTGCATCATCATCATTGCCGAGCCGAGAGACACACACACTTATACTCGTCCAAGGCGCTCGCTCAAAGCAGCCCCTGAGACGGTAGCGAGGTGTTGACTTCCGAGACCTGCGTTTCATTCAGCTAAAAACACCTCTCGCCTCGATAATATATAACAAGTACGATACGTTGGATTGTTAGCCTTCCGCCAGACCGATCCCATGCTCACTAAAAAGTGATTATTTCCTAAACTATTTGACCGATTTTCGTGAGATTATGCATGCATCTCGGCAGATGGTTACGCTATAGCAAAACGTCATTGGGAACACTCTCAATGACTTCATTAGATTAATTAAGACTTAATTACGACAAAAAGTTGGACATTTTGCCTTTTCCCGACCGACCCCATGCTCACTTAAAAGTCAATATTTCAGAAACTATTCGACCGATTTTCATCAATTTTTGCATGCACCTCAGTAGTAGTATACACAATGGGGCTACGGGATTAGGGACTCCTCAAGGGCTCAATTTAAAAATTGAGCCCTTGGGGGGTACCTGGTCACACTGAAAGGGTGACATAACTCAAAGTAAACTAATAAAATATATCAATAATATGAATTTAAGAAATAAAAGTTTATGCCTTGGGGATTCGAACTCACCCCCATTGCTCTTTATTTACACTGAAACGCGGATATTCTTAGCCTGTCCCACAGTCCCAAATACTTCACCCTAAGCCGAAACATGATACTCCCCCTCAACAGCAAATGTTGATTCTAAAATCGAGCATAGCGTTCATTTATGCATGCTTTTTGTTTTAAAATACATAAAGTATTGTCTTATCATAATGCATTCATTCAATGCAAAATCATAGTATTTAGTTTGGGGTAAAAAGGGGAGTAATTCATGGGCTGAAGCAAATAATTCCATCATATTGACATAGGTTGTTTTGCCACACTCCGAAAGTGATGCGGATGCTAGGATTCTTGCCTCTCAAGGCTGTTTTAAACACAGAGGCAATGCAGGTCACCAGTGTTAACGGCTCCGAGATGAGTTATATTAGGCGGGACTAGGCCAGCGCAGTGAGTGTTGATGTATTTACAAACATGGAAGTTACATTAGTCTCATGTTTTTGGTGGTTGATTCATTCAATATAATCACAAAAATATGGGATTTTGGTATAACATCTCAATACCATACTTGATTCCTATATATAAATCGCATTACAAGGCAGGATACAATGGCAATATGGTATAGCGGTAAGTTTGAAATACATTTGAAATTCTATTTAGTTGGGTTGTTTGGGGATGGTGAAGACAAACAATGTTCATAATTACTAATATTTATTTCATCGTTTATTACCTTAGATTTGATGTTTTCTTCACTTGCACATACTTACTAAACTAAGGCTTTGACGGTGTAGGTATGTGAAATGCTGCCAAGAGGGCGAGCGTGTGTGGCACTTCTCCAACGGCTTGGCTTGATTTTGAAATTAATAGTTAAACTCGGCTTTATACACTCCGTTGATTGTATCATAATCAAATCATTGAATTGGATATTCGTTGATTGGTTCAACTGGTATCGTATGATTTTTGATTTAATGATGTCACACAGGAATGAATCTCGTCATGTGTGCAACAATCACACTATACACCAATTGATGCAAAACGATCGCGTGATATCAGGCTGGGAGCGTCGCATTCTATATTTACTATTCGTTGATTGGTTCAATTGGTATCGTATGATTTTGATTTGATGATGTCACACAGGAATGAATCGCGTCATGTGTGCCTCAATCACACGACACACCGATAGGCGCAAAACGATCGCGTGATATCAGTCTGACATTTTTACTATGCGGTTTCCCAAGGTCAGCTCAGTACAAGGCCAGTCAACGGTGAAATGAGGTCAGCCAGGTATTTAATTAGGTCAACAAAATGGCCGACATTTCTGTTAAACAGATATGTTCCGGTCACTCACGTCAATGACATACTGGTTGGTCTTGAAAAGCGAATTGAATACTGCTTTGTAGAGCAGTCCAAACATATTTTGAAAACTCGCTTACAAAATCCCTGGCAGGGCTCGATATGAGAGATGTTAACCTACTTGCACCATGTGCAATCTAAGATAAAATCCTAGTTGCACCAGTCAAATTAAAGTTGAACTGCTTTCATTGCAATATGTAATGAAAGAAATATGCTGTTGAATTATTTAAATGTTATATTTAGAAGTTTACCCAATCAAAAATTTACCTGCACATGGTGCAAGTTAGACTAATAACTAGGCTGCACTTTGTAATATTGGGTTGCACCAGTGCAAGTAAGAAAGCACTAAATCGAGCCCTGCCTGGCCAAGACGAAAAGCTTTTGTTGAACTGCCACCAGGCCGTGTATTGCAGAGGATGGCAACAAGGTGCGGGGGTCAACACTCTTACCCATGTACAAGACAAATGTTATAGATAACACCTTCTTTATTTGCTTGTCACGACGTTTCTGATATTTTATAATGCTGATTAATAATTATAGTCCGTTTCTCTGCACTCCTCCCTCGTAACAAATAGTGAACTGTGTCAAATTTTTAATGATAGTTTGTTAAACAACTTTTTAAATTTTAGAACATAAATTCTGCAAACAAATCACAGAGTTGGTCTGATGTTTTGATTATGATCAGCGTTTCATTGAGTATTTTATGTTTATTAGTTTTCAAGTTAGATTGCAATTCATCGGTCCTCTTTTGAGCCAAACGGACTATAAATGAATTGGTCTCAAAATTCAGGACTGGTTATTGTACTAAGTTGCGCGATAGGGCGGGACCCAGTCAACAGGAAACGAGACTGTTGTGTACTCAATGTTTTGACTTGTAGAGAGAGTTTATTGCAAAGGAAAATCGAGATAAAGAAAGGAGTGTGCCTTTAATGCTGTGGTCGGGCATGATTGGGTACACCGAAAGCTCGTGAACCCACAGCGTACAGTTGACATGTAATAAAATACCATGCAATCAAAGGTATTCGTTCGTGACATGTACGCGATGACATCACATGTTCAATATTGCTCGGAATTAGATTCTTTCATTCTCTTCCATATATTTTATCTATTATCCATGGATCCTATGAATCTCTGCGAAAATTTATCAAACTGTAGTTTCCGTGAAGATCCAAGTAACAACTGATCTTCAGTAAGCCATGCTTGTCGTAAGCGGCGACTAACGGAATCGTGTGGTCGCCGACTTGGTTGACACATCGTATCCCAATCGATCGATGATCATGTTGTTGTTATATGGATTATCTGGTCCAGACTCGATTATTTACAGACCGCTGCCATACAGCTGGAATATTGCGGCAAAGAAATAAACACACTCACTAAAATTGTACATCAAATCGTTCACGAAATGTGTTTATTAAAGTTGTGTGTGAAACCACAAATGACACTGTGTCTTATATGCTTAATTGCTTATCGTGTAGAGAACAAACATATAAAACTCACCATTATTCCTGTTACTAGACCTATCTCTGTGTCGACATTGTCTGTCTGAGTACATTTTTTGACCAATGACATTCATTCATTGGGTAAAACATTAAAATCCATTGAAAAGAATCTATATTTTTGTAATTTACTCCCGTAATATCATTACAGATTTTCTTGTCTATAAATAGTTATTTTGATACATTCCCGTCGACCGGTCATGCGCAGTAACTGTTAGCTACGAATGTGTACTTCCTGTGGTCTAATGCACATATGCCCAGCGTTTGAGAGGTATACTCTAGTACTGAGTGAATTTCGCCTGTATTTTCACATGGAGGATTATGAAGGCGATTGGGTTTTCGAGTGTTGGTCATAATACGATACTACAGATGTCAGTCGTGCCTGACTCCCTCCCTTGGTGCGACTTCCTCCCGTACGGCGTATCTCCCGCACCACTCCCCCTCCTCCAATTTCAACGGTGAGGCAAAAGACATGAAATCAGGAGGGTAAGGTTAGGGCCTTGCAACATGAAATTTAAGGGGGGATACGGGCGAAGTCTTTCCGTTCCTTTCATCACGGATAGTTAGAATAATCTGACATATCGTCAGCGGGCATCCCGTATCTAAAAATAGCATAAAGGCGATCAAACACTGCATAATCAAGATTTTAAAGAGTGATTATTATGCGTAAACTTATTAAATGATGATGATATGCGACAAATACAATACTAACTCAATCTACTTACTTTAAATAACCGTAAGCAGAAAACACTGGATGAAATAGTTGCTGCTGTGAATAGTGTTTACATTCACGTATCCAAGCAGTAAAAGTTCATATGGCCCCGACAATAAGCCGAGAAAGCAGCGTGCAGATCGTGCATGGTTCACTGCGCCTGATAACTATTTGCGAGCAAGAAGTGACTTCCGTAAAACTATGTCAATAGCAAACAAAACTTCACTTGTTGAAGCAAGTTGAATAAGCAAGCAAGTAAAATATTATGAAAAGGTACTCCGAAACTGACTGCCTTGGGAAAATTGATGATTCAGCAGTTAAAGTCACATTCTTAAATGGGTACATGAACGCAACTCAACATATGTGATTTAGGGCGAATATAATCACAAATGCCTGACCAAGTTGTTGGGTTTTTTAAATACATAGTGCAAAGCTGATGATAAAATACGTCAGTCGCAAGAGTCCCCCCAAAAGATCAGCCCCTGAAGAATTCCCGTTTCGGGGCTTACAATGAGCTCGCACTGCAAGTGTATCAGTGGCGGTGGGGTAGCCTAGTGGTTAAAGCGTTCGCTCGTCACGCCGAAGACCCGGGTTCGATTCCCCACATGGGTACAATGTGTGACGTTCATTTTTGGTGTTCATGGCGTGCTATTGCTGGAATATTGTTATTGTTAGAAATGGATTCGAACCCGATTGATTAACTACGGTGGTCAGTGCTTCTCTGTTGAGTAATTATTGTCCAACTTGCATATAAACTAACGCCCGAAAGTAACGTGGCAGCCGATTTGAAGATCCATCGCGAAAAAAAACAACATAAATGACCATAATAAATGGTAATGTAAATATCAATATGTGCTAAAACATTGTGCAAACAGTCATAGCAATACAATGAACAATGGAATAAATATGGCTGGTAATGTCCATGTGGGTTACACAAAACAGTTGGTCAGCTCGGCACAACATGACTATAGGCGATGCTGTGTGTCACCATTGTAGTGGGTGTGACCTCCATTGGCTTGCATGCAGGCAAATACTCACCAACGTCAGTCGCGTGATGACGTCACATGGGATTCGTCGCTATTCTTCATATGGAGGGCCACAATGAGTTCATCCCGGGAGTTGAGAAGTTGTTGTCGCCGTCGAATTGGTGTGCTATGGGATTACGGTCTGCAGAGCGAGGTGGCCTTGTTGACGTTAAGGACGTTTTGCACGACGTTAACACTATGGGGCCTCTCGTGTTGGAACACAATACCCTGTGGCTGTTAAACACGGCAGGGCACTGGACCTCATCTCTGTAGCGTACGGCATTCAAGTTACCAATGGCGTCCTCTCGTTACCATAAATGCCCACCACAGTTTGGATATCGTTTGTGCATGTGCAATTATCATACACTCAAATCACGTGTTTTCTGGAAAAAAACCCCACTTTTTCAAAACACCCGAGCAAAGAACTGCAGTCACAACACAGTTTCGTATTCTGGGGGGTTTGTGGATTGGATTTGGATTGGCCACGTTATGGTAAAAGTATCTCTCTTTCAACAATTTAATTTTTTAGGTGCCAAGTGACCCGTGAAGATCCGGGGTAGAATAGGTCTTCAGCAACCCATGCTTGCCACAAAAGGCGACTATGCTTGTCGTAAGAGGCGACTAACGGGATCGGGTGGTCAGGCTCGCTGACTTGGTTGATACATGTCATCGATTCCCAATTGCGCAAAAAGAATGCTCATGCTGTTGATCACTGGATTGTCTGGTCCAGACTCGATTATTTACAGACCGCCGCAATATAGCTGGAATATCGCTGAGTGCGGCGTAGAACTAAACTCACTCACTCACTTAGGTGCCAAGTTTCTTCTGGACGTCAGTTTAGTTTCACGCCACACATGTTAGAGGGTCGGGTTCGAACCCCTGCTTGGCAGGGTTAAAATATTTGTATCTAGCTAGCAGACAATCAGATTTGTGGTGAGACACCACGCATGACTCACAAACCATATAATAATCATTTCAACTGTATGTTTCAACTGAAATGTTAAAGATTTAAATAACAAAAAACCTATTACTTTATCAATATTGATATGAAATAATTCGTTAACATAGGTATTAAGTTCCACTAATAACATACTTTGTGAATTTAATTTCAATCAGGTATTTAAAAAGTGAACTGAAGTGGGGGTGTTACTTCATCGCTTTGAACACATATCGACGTTCGTTCTTCATTGAAATGATTAATTCCTTGCGAGTGGTATCATTACAAGATCATAGATCCTATATGCTGAAACACTAAAATTTAAGAGAACGATAAATATTAAACTGAAGTTAGAAACGCACAATTTGTTTACTACAAATTGCTCGCTCGGCTTGATCGTAATAGATGTTTGCATGAAATTAAATGCTTTCAAAAATAATATACATAGACGAATAAGTAAAATAATATTTCACAAAGCAAATAAAACTTGCTCTGTAGCCTTCAAATACCTATGAATGATGTGACATAGTTCACTCACACTAAGTCCGATAGACTTTGTTTGAAATATAATGTTACCCAAACAATATTAATGTATGCATAAATGCATAGGTAAGATATACTCATGCCAATAATGGTTGTTACCCCTCCCCACCCTACAACCCCCACACACCTCACACCCCACCCCTCTCAAATTAAAAAAAAAATGAAGGGGTGACAACCATTATTGGCATGAGTATAGTATTAAATAAAGCTGAATATTTTACGGAATGTATATGAGGATCATATAAGCATAGAAAAAAGATGTATTTTCGAACGAGTTATTGTTACAGCTCAAGTTATAAGTTCCAATATTTTATTTAATTATTTCTATTAGTAGTGTTCTTAGGACAAACGTTATTAGAAAGCAGACACCGATAAACATACATTATAAAGAAACAGTGACTGTTTATATAGTCGACGGTATTTGGTAGGAACATGGGAAATCACAGAATCTGTGTCATAAAAGTGGGTGATTCCATTACCATCACACATTCCTTTCTTCTTCTAGGACCAGTCCATTGTGCATTTACCATAGTGCGCAAGGGGGGTGAGGTTAGAGATAGAAAGTAACTACCATAAATAAACAAAAATAAACATCAGTTAACTCAGTTCTGTTCGTCTGGTCAATGAGTATGCCGGAGCACCGTCGAAACGATATTGAACCGATGACAAAGGTCTCAGTTCGCACAGCAACGCCGTTAGGGGTTCGTCATGGTACACAGATCATTTAGAAGTTATGACGTAGAGCAAGATGGAGGTCATGCGGGTTGACCATTGTTGCAATGCCAGTCATATCGATTTTGAGGGTTTTACTATTATTTAAGGTAGATGCCCATTGTTCACATGTAAGTCATGAGGATTTGCTATTGTTCTTATGTAGGTCATGGGAATTTGCTACTGTTCACATTGTAGGTCATGAGGATTGCCCAATGCGCATTGTTCACGTGTAGGTCATGAGGATTTGCTATTGTTCACATGTAGGTCATGAGGATTTGCTATTGTTCACATTGTAGGTCATGAGGATTTGCTATTGTTGACATGTAGGTCATGAGGATTTGCTATTGTTCACATGTAAGTCATGGGGATTTGCTACTGTTCACATTGTAGGTCATGAGGATTGCCCAATGCGCATTGTTCACATGTAGGTCATGAGGATTTGCTATTGTTGACATGTAGGTCATGGGGATTTGCTATTGTTCACATTGTAGGTCGTGAGGCTTGCCTAATGCCCATTGTTCACATGTAGGTCATGAGGATTTGCTATTGTTCTTATGTAGGTCATGAGGATTTGCTATTGTTCACATGTAGGTCGTGAGGATTGCCCAATGCCCATTGTTCACATGTAGGTCATGAGGATTTGCTACTGTTCACATGTAGGTCATGAGGATTTGCCATTGTTCACATGTAGGTCATGAGGATTTGCTATTGTTCACATGTAGGTCATGATGATTTGCTACACATTGTAGGTCATGAGGATTTGCTATTGTTCACATGTAGGTCAGGATTGGATTTGCTATTGTTCACATGTAGGTCATGAGGATTTGCTATTGTTCACATGTAGGTCATGAGGATTTGCTATTGTTCACATGTAGGTCGTGAGGATTGCCCAATGCGCATTGTTCACATGTAGGTCATGAGGATTTGCTATTGTTCACATGTAGGTCATGAGGATTTGCTATTGTTCACGTGTAGGTCATGAGGATTTGCTACTGTTCACATGTAGGTCGTGAGAATTGCCCAATGCGCATTGTTGACATGTAGGTCATGAGGATTTGCTATTGTTGACATGTAGGTCATGAGGATTTGCTACTGTTCACATGTAGGTCGTGAGGATTGCCCAATGCGCATTGTTCACATGTAGGTCATGAGGATTTGCTATTGTTCACATGTAGGTCGTGAGGATTTGCTATTGTTCACATGTAGGTCATGAGGATTGCCCAATGCGCATTGTTCACATGTAGGTCATGAGGATTTGCTATTGTTCACATGCAGGTCATGAGGATTTGCTATTGTTCACATGGAGGTCATGAGGATTTGCTATTGTTCACATGCAGGTCATGAGGATTTGCTATTGTTCACATGTAGGTCATGAGGATTTGCTATTGTTGACATGGAGGTCATGAGGATTTGCTATTGTTCACATGCAGGTCATGAGGATTTGCTATTGTTCACATGTAGGTCATGAGGATTTGCTATTGTTCACATGGAGGTCATGAGGATTTGCTATTGTTCACATGCAGGTCATGAGGATTTGCTATTGTTCACATGCAGGTCATGAGGATTTCGTCACCATCACAGATTTGTGTGTTCGTTCTATGGTCAAATAGTTTAGTAATGAGAAAACTACTAATAAGTACTATAGTGGTGTCGTATCCTTTTTGCCTTTATATATTTGTATAAAGTATATACTGCTCTACTGCTGGTATTGCATTCAAAGCAGCTGTACTGTGTAACTACCACTTAAACAAAGCATAAAGCAAGCAATATACTCAGCATGATGTTACCGACAAACCTTTCAATCCTAGAACCAATAGATACACATTCGCAACGTTTTTCAACCGTGTCATAGGTCGCCAGAATTCTAGCAGGACCACCACTTCCATCGAACAACTTTATAGACCCAACAAATATGGTGGCCCCCTTCTTGGGAATAAGTTCTAGGCGCGCAACACTTTCTAATCCTGGAATGTTATTCCTTCCCAGAATCACGTGTACTTTGAAATCGGTTGACTGACCGTGGTCAACGGAGGGTGTGTCGACCCCGACCATGCTGACATTTCTATTGGCAACCATCCAAGCAATGGCGTCCTCGTGGTACCCCGGGAAATGGAAAGTGGAGGGAGTTCCTGGCTGGTCTGTGTTGAAGAAACGTGTTTTGTTTGGATAGCGAGATCCCCATCCAGAATTCATGATGACGATGGCACCGTGGGGGATTCGACCGTGTTTTCTTTCATACGCCTCAAAATCAGATTGGGTGACTCTGTAATCTGGATCCGCTTCCGCTTGTGACGTCACATCTAGGATAACAGCTGGTCCAATCAGACGGTCTGCTGGAATTTCTTGTGCCCTCCACCCACCCTCGAAGAAATGGGAAGGGGCGTCTAAATGTGTGCCGCCGTGCTCAGGGGTAGCAAACCAGTTACGTTCATACCTGAAAGTACAAACAAACAACGCTACTGAAAATTATGTTTTGAAGTAGAGAATTTTAGATATCTATGCATTGAAAAAAACATCAAAATATGAGAATGAATCAGACGTACAAAGATTTCAAGAATCGAACGTTTAAAGTGGGAATCATATTGTCTTCACATATGCAGGATTGTAGCACCTGTGTTATGTATAGTATGTGTGACGTATTGAACTTAACCAGTGAAGATCCGTTTTAGATTTGGTCTTCAGCAACCCATGCTTGAGGCGACTAACGGGATCAAGTGGTCAGGTTGACACATGTTATCCTATCCCAACTGCGTAGATCGATGCTCATGATGTTGATCACTGGGTTGTCTGGTCCAGACTCGATGATTTACAGACCACCGCCATATACCTGGAATATGCACGAAGGCGTCCTCGAAGTGGATAGTATAGTGGTTAGATCCCCAACCACATTACACTAAAATGATATTTGATGATGCCCTGCTTGATGCAAGGATTTAAAGGGATAACACAAGTCGTGGTCAACGGGAATACTATTTGTAAGTGGGTATCCAACATTCGTCACCACTCGCCCCTTTCCGTAACCCCCAAGAAAACTCGTCCCCGTCTCGATGCCTGTTATGTGCGAAAATACGACAAACCAATCAGAACTCGCGTAATGTCATTGTTTAAAAAAAATCTTGAAAAATATGTTTCGTCATATTGAAAGTACAAAGAACGTACTCACTCATTCAACGTAGCTAACAATTGTTTTGGCTCATGTGCTGTTTTTTAGTAAGGATAATGCCATGGAAGGTGAGAGATTCAAATCCCCGCACGTGCGTTTGTTTACATAACGGCTCTCATGGGTCTACTGCTTGACTCGTATTTGATGAGCCTGCGCAGTACACGCGTTTATGACAAGTAGGCGGGGCAGGGAATCTAGACGAGTACGCCTGGTTGCTACAGGTAGATTGGCGAGGAAGCCCGTGCAATACATGCTGACCGTGGCGTGAACTCAATACCGCTTCTGTTTAACACGTGGCTTGTAGAGTGATTTACTTCAGCAAGACACCATCTCGACACGAGTCAATTTTTTAATGTTTGCAGATTTTAATGAATTTAAGCATGGGCAAATTGTTCATTCTCAGGCAAGGGAGTTAGCCTACAATGTTATTATTTATATGGAAAAGACGTGTGCAACCAAAGTAGACGCTATGTAAAAAACTTGCCTTTCCAAGGCAACTTTAAAACGTATTAAAGCAGAAGGTGATAGGGGTGCGAGTAGGCCTAATTTTATTAGTCCAACCAAGTTGCGCAAACCCAAAACTTCCAAGCACAAACTTAATGATTTTGACCGGTGTGCAGTCCGTCAATTTGTACAAAGTTTATATGGAGTACAGAAGCAACTGCCTACTCTAGATATGATATATGATATGGCAAGAAGCCAATTGCATTACCAGGGTTCCGAGGAAAGTTTTCGGAAAAATCAGAAAGACATGGGATTTAGGTGGCGAAAAACGCAGTCAAATCGTAAGGTTTTAATGGAACGAAAAGACATCGTTGCAAAGCGCATGCAATACTTACGTGCAACAAAAAAATGTCGAGATGAAAATCGAACAATCATCTTTATCGATGAAACATGGTTGCATGTACACCACATTGTCCCAAAATGTTGGCAGCTTGATGGTGAGGTTGTGATAAATGGGGTTCAGCCTCCGTCCGGTACCGGACCTCAGCTTATTGTTGTTCACGCAGGATCCGAAAATGGTTTTGTGACAAATGCTTTACTTGTATTTGACTAAATGCTCAAATCAGCAGATTATCATGGCGAGATGAATTTGATATTTTTTCCAAATGGCTGCAGGAATAATTGATCCCACACATTCCACCCCACTCCGTCATTGTTATGGATAACGCGCCATACCACAGCAAGCAAGTGGACAAATGTCCAACAACGGCTAACAGAAAAGATGATATCAAAGCTTGGTTACAAAGGCACAATATTGCATTTGACGATAAAATGCTCAAAGCCGAACTGTTGTGTCTGGCAAAATCCAACATATCGGACCCTTTCTATAGAGTAGACACTATGTTGAAACAACATGGCCATGGTGTACTATGTCCTCCTCCTTACCACGCAGAACTGAACCCAATTGAGTTGATTTGGGCCAATGTAAAAAATTATGTTGCTAAACAAAACTTGCAGTTCACAAAAACTTCGCTAAGAGTTGCCATAAACGAGACAATGTCTGCAAACGGTGCCAAGGACTGGTTGTAAATGTTGTAAGCATGTTAAAAGCATTAAAGATGGCTACTGGCAACGGGAAATTGCAGTACAAGAAGAAATTGACAGAATAGTGATCGAAGTAGGACTGGCAAGTGATTCAGACACTGAGACCGATTCAGAAAGTGACGACTAAGGCCCGAAGTTCGCCTGAATCAGTAAATTCCATAATGGATCTATTCGGTATTTGACCCCTCTGTGGAGAGGATGCACCAGAGTATATGCCGATTATACATCCGTTTGTAAACATAACAAATGTTCTTTTCGAATTCTCTAGCACTTGTGTGGGGTGTTTTGTGAATAAAGTTATATTCGTCGTGGTTCAGTTTCTAAGGATATTAGCTGTACACGCACTTAGTATGATATAACAATCAAAACACGATTCGCACGAGGAAATTTAACTTTTTAAGTTTTAGACGACAACCTGTTTCCCTCATTTTTCAAATGGAATGTTCGTGAGGGCGTTCCCATATCTGCAAATTGGGGTCATTTGTGAGGTCGTTGCTCATCTAATAGTAGTACATCAGTAATTGAGTGTATTTCTGGCGGTCTTGCGGGCTTCTTTTGGAGATTGTACGTGCGCTTCACAAGATTTGGGGAAATGTGATCATTAATCGTTATGAGTTTCAAAACAATAATATTATATCTTTGTATAACTAATCAACTTTAATCTTAAACACCTGATCTCTGAGGACATTTTAGTCTGACGTTTTTGGGGGTCATTCATAGTTTTTTTAGCGTATTCATTTTACAATTGAACCAGGGGTATGGCAAGGTGGTTACACGAATGTTCAGTTCGAGAAATATTTTTAAGGTCATATTTGAGTATCTGCTTTGCGACTTAATGTAGCTGAATAGCGTGACGCTTTATCCATAAGCCTACCCCACCGCTGGAACAGGAAACGTGTGTACAGAGTGGCAAAAGCTCGCACGCGCGCATGTACGCACATACACACACGCACTAGTCATGTGGTTTATAAGTACAATACTTTGGAACGTGATGTTTAGCTCCGTTTCACCTCGCTTCGCCTTCTGAGTACGTCATATGGAAAACACCTCACTTCGGGACAGTTATTTTAACTGGAAGAAGAATTTAGTTTCTCGTCAACTAAATTGATTCATGTATATGCCAGTTTCACTTTACTTGAAAATCTGGTAAATGCAAAACGTCATGAAGAAGTTTCAGTATCAATACACGCATGTACCATCTTTCTATGTGCAAAGAAAATAGTCACATTGAAATAGAGTGACTGATGCAATGTTTCACAATATCCAACCAACCAACCAAACCTGTGACCAAACTAACATCTTGTACATACAGTAAACCTGAAGAATGGGCCATTCTCATGACACGTAGATATTGTAACTGCGATCGGTGTTTTTAGCCTGGCCGACTTGCTGGTCCATGCCTTCATATTCCATCGGCTTAGATCGATGCTAATGATGTCAATCACTGGATGTTTTCTTCCGGATACGATTACTTACAGTCTGTCATTATATAGCTGGAATGTTGCTGAGTGTGGCGTCAAAGAACAAACAGCAAACAAACATAAAAACAATTGCCATGGCATCCATTTATATAATCACATCG